AAAATTCATATTTAGTTTGTTAGAAGATCGCTGTTGTTTTATTCTGTAAGCTTGAATTTTAATGCGGCCAACAACAGACTGTGGTCACGTGGAACATTGTCACTAGGAAAAGTTTTTACAGATTCTACTGCATTTCTGTAACGCTTAACGATGGCTATGTGGTCAATTTAGTTCCTTACAATATTATTAGGGGTTTTTGCTGGAGATTTCCACGTGTATAATCTCCGTTTAGGTAGTCTGAAAAAGGTATTAATTATACATAGATTATACTTTTTACAAAAATCTGCGAAATAGTCTTCCCTTTCATTTCTATCGTCCAGTCCAGATCTCAAATAATGTTACTTTATCTGCCTTTTCCTATCTTAACATTAAGGTCACCTATCAAAATGATGAAATCTTTAGTCTTAAGTTGGTCAGTAACAGTTTTTACACCAGCATAGAACTTCTCAATTTCTTCTAGTTTACTTGCACTGTCGATGTATATACTTGTATAGATGCAGAATAGAAGCATATGCGCGCATTACACAAAACTAAACGATTGTTGTATATTTATTAATTCTAATTTATTGTATTTATTATTATCAAAGGTTCTATATTTATAACACTTACAACTTAATTTAAAGTTTATTTATACTAATTTATCTTACAATAATAATTATTTATACGAGCGTTACATTTAAAACGCGGCGCGCTTTTTATCTTCTTACTGGCTGTTCTCTACAAAAAAGTTTCTATTTATATATCATGCCGTTATTCGAGAAGGTCGGCTTCCGGAACTCTCGAATAATATAAAAGGAAAATCCCACAACAGACAGAGCGACGAGTGATCTCGAACTGGTTTTTTTATAGCGGCCTGTTTCCAGAAGGTTCGATTGCTGTTTTTATATCGGAGGGGAACCCATCGTGTCAGGTAGGTATTAAGTGGAATTTCTACCATCAGGTCAAATCTAGTACATATAAGAATTAAAATATTTACGAGACATATTTATCGAAACACGATCAAACATTTTTTAAATTTATAATTCGATCCGATATAGTGGAAATAAAAAAAATACAGCAATTTTTATAACAGCTTCATCATCTACCTGAAATGATTATGATATGGTATATTTTAGTTCCGATAGTTTTATGTTGCGCAAGCTACTTTTCGCTTCTAGTACATTAAGTTCTAAATCACGAACCTCCTTCTCCTTCCATAATTTTACATGTAGGAAGTACAAAAATGTAAGGATAAATGTGTACATAATAGTCATTCACTGGATTTTGTGTCCCTTTGGTCCAGATTGTTTTCAAGCTATTTGTATTTAAAACAATAGCGCCTGGTTTGTACTCAATTAAACTTTAGTATGAACCAATCAACAAGTGGATGTATTCAAAACATGCCCTTTATTTCCTGTTACACATTGAAATGTCGACCGTTAGATATTTATTTTAGGCTCGACACAACTACCGTTCGTCTATTACACGCTTGCCGGACTCACTTTATCTTGCGAAATAAAAGCCTTTACCTCTCTATAATCGAAATCCATTGTTTATTTTAGTTAATATTGTTTTGAACGGTATGTGGACAATTTGGGCTTTTGGATTTTCTTTTGCTCTTTCTATTTTTATGTACAGAGGGATCCAACACAGTGTTTTTTTGTAACAATAACCTAATAAATATACATCTAATTGTCATGATCTGTTAGTTTGGATGGACGTTACAGAATTGTCAAAATTAAGCATAATTACATTGTGTACATACCTTAAAAATATCAAGAAAATAGTTGAGAAGTTCTTGATAAACCATGAGACGCTATTAAACAAGTAAAACACAAGTTTAATCTAAATAAAAATATATTCAAATAAATGTTAAAAATAAAATAAACTTGTATAAATATAACATCTACAATAAAAAATAAAAAAAAACGAATCCTTGTAAATAAAATCTGCTGTTGATACTTAAATACCTGTTGATACCGATAAACACTAGCGCTATGCAGATGGGTAAGGCAAAGGTCGATATTTTGGTCAATACTCAAAAACCGGGGAATGATTAATCACTACTTAGTCTATGTAAGAGGTGGCTGAATCGATCACTACTCGACAACGGAAGTGATCGATCAATAATCGATTAAAGATGGAGAACAGAAAAGACGGTGGGTGGCCTTTGACCAATATTCAAAGAACTGGGGTAGGAGCTCTTACCAGATCAGTACTCCGGATCGAACTCATGCTCGATGGCATCATTATATATATAAGGTGGTTCTTGAACTCTTTTTACTCTTTTGAATATTTTGTACCCTCTTTTGTTCGGTCAGGTGTAGCAGATCTTCGTTTCTGTTGGTGTTAGGCCAGAATATACGAACAATTCTTCGTAGACATTTGTTAACAAAGACCTGCAGTTTGTCTGTGAGGGTGTTTGTCACTTTCCAGGTTTCACATCCGTAAAAATGATATGACATTTGATCGGAATATTCGGATCCTTGTCCTTGTAGTATACTCGCCAGATCTCCAAACAGGGTTGAGCGTGCTGAAAGCTTGTTGGGCTTTTCGTATCCTCATACGAATATCGTCTTCTGTATCTCCGTTTTCTGTTATGACACTTCCAAGATATGTAAAGTTTTCCACATTTTCAATCTGCATATTGTCGATAGTAAATAGCATGTTGTTCGTTGCATTTATTCTCATGGAGTTGGTTTTACTAATATTGATTTTCAAACCTATTTTATTGGCTTCAGTGGAAAATGTTTCCAATTGGTAAGCCAGATCTTGGAACCTTTGACCTAATAGGCAGATATCGTCCGCGTATTCTAGATCGCTTAGGCGTGTGGTTAACGTCCATTGTATCCCTCTTGTGTCGGAGTCTAGTTTGGAGAGAACATCTATAACTATGTTAAAAAGAAACGGAGAAAGCACGCATCCCTGTCTAACTCCAGTAAGTACGTCGAATTCGTCACTGTTGATCCCATTGTGTGTTACGCTACATTTCGCATCAGCATATAGTGACTTTATAATAGAAATTATTTTTTTCGGGATGTTTCTTAGCTCTAAAATTTTCCATATAGCAGCGTGAGACAAGCTATCAAAGGCACGTTCAAAATCAACAAAAACCATGTATAGGGGTGTGTTCCATTCAACCGATTATTCCATTATTACCCTCACACTATTAATGTCGTCAATGCAAGAGGATTCTGGTCTAAAGCCTGCTTGATTAGCTCGAAACTCAACCTTGTTTGTTAATCTTTTTAGTATGATGGTCGTGAAAATTTTATTTATGACAGTAAGCAAGGTTATTCCTCTCCAATTTTTGCATAGTGTGAGGTTGCCTTTTTTTTGGAAGTTTGATACTGTTACCTTTTTTCCAGCCCACTGGAATGTGATTTGTTTCCCACACCTTTCGGATTATGGGGAGCAAAAGTTCAGCAGTTAGATGCGGATCAGCTTTAAGTATTTCAGCAGCAATGTTATCGATTCCCGGTGACTTGTTTCTCAGAGATTTGATAGCTGTTATTATCTCCGTTTTGGAAGGGGCCTCGCAAGAAATATGCAAGTCTATATTCTGCGAGTTTTCGACAATTTCGTCTGCGTTATCTCTGGGAATACCTAGCATCTCCTGAAAATGCTCTTTCCATCTCTCTACTTGGTCATCTGTTGTAGTAAGTAATTCGCCTGTCTTGGATCTTACAATGTTCGAACAGTTGGACCCATTTTTTGTTACTCGTCTAGTAATTTAGTAAAGCTCCCTTGTTCTGTTGTGTTGTGCAGCTGTTTCTGCTTGTTTTGCCAGCTCTTCGGCCCACCTTCTTTTGTCTCTTCTTACTTTTCTTTTAACTGATTTATTTATTGTTTGATATTCCTGTTGTCGGTGTGCTATTCTTTCTAGAGTTCTGGCTTGCAGGATATCTTTTTAAGGTTGTTTTCTTTCGTCGATAAGATTCCATGTTTCATACGATATCCATTCCTTTCTACCTTTCTCTTTTTTACCCAGTTTGTCTTCAGCTATTTCTGTCAAAATATCTGCGAAATCTTCCCAGCTATTTATTTTACGTTCTCTTGTTTTGAGTTGAAGTTTCTCTCTAAAGATATGTCTTCCTGGGATCGTTTTTAGTTTATTTAGATTGTATGTTGGTCTCTTGGTGTTTCGCGTAATTTTGTTTTTTGCCATCTTGATTTTAATGGTAACAATTACGAGATGATGGTCACTTGCGATGTCTGCTCCTCTTTTATTACGTACATCAAGAAGAGATGATCTCTTTTTTTTTAATATAGCGATGTGGTCTATTTGATTTTCTCTTGTATGACCAAGATTATACCATCATTATACCCCCTTCTTTTTGTAAAAAAATGTAGCATGCATTTTTTTATGACGTGAAGATTTCAACGGTATGATTTTTATCGGTTGGGTGATAACTCAATTCGTAAGCCGGTCTTGGATGACTGTCAAGAAAATGTCCACCTTTGTAGATCTTGGGAATGATCTTATTAAATAATTTTTTTTGGAGTCCCAAAATTTACATTATTAGTAAAATTCAGCTTGTTCGTATGGTTTTTAGAGGTTTAGTGTCATTTTCATCTCTGACGACTGGAGTACCTGTACAAACTTATAGATTTTCCTTCATCCGTAGTTATCAAATTATTTTATTATTAAATACTGTCCTTGTTCAAATTACTTTACTGTATGTAATTAGTTTTTGTTTTGTTTATATAAAATCCTTTTTCTCGATTTACTTTTTCTAGTTGTTCCACTACCTTTTTTAATTCTTTCTTGCTTCTGAACAGAATTACTATCTAATATATGTGATATACCCTGTTAATATTACCCTCTTTTATTAGCATTTTTAATACTACATTAAATCAGAATTATGACAAACAAATCTCCTTCTGGTACTCATTATTTCAGTTAGTTTATGATTTACACCTTTACTTTATTTACAGAAAATTATACATACAAAAGTAATATTTCTAATTTTTATTTAATAGTATTCAAATAGTGTCTTAAAGTTAGTTTTTTTTTTCAGATTTCATGGTATTTACTGGCCTGCATTTCTTCTAGCAGCAAAGTTAGACCTACCTAAAACAATACTTTGCCATTCTCATTGGACTGTGGATGGAGAAAAGATGTCGAAATCTAAAGGAAATGTAGTTTGTCCATTCCAAAGTGCAAAAACTTATTCAAGTGACGGTATGCGTTACTTTTTACTTCGAGAAGGAGTAGCTCATAGTGATGGAAGTAAGTTTGTTTACAATCTCTTTTTAATTTATTCACATATATATAATTTTTTATGATTATACATAATTTTCTTATAAGATTCCATTTTTTTAAAAGTACATCATAAGAGTTGGATACGTAGAGAGGCTGCTATACTGTGATATATTTTCTCGTAGGTCCATGCCCAGGATGGCAGAATTATTCAAGGGTAGCATTGCCTTGTTTGCTTAAGACTTCCTGGTCACCATATACAACAAAGATCGATGGCCATCTTCTAATCGCAGTATTCTTCCAATTTAAGGCTGCTGATTTTTCAACTCATCCAAGCGACCGAACTTCTTATTGAATACGGACGAGATTCCTTTAGCCATCTTCATGTCTTGGGCAACACAGTGGGCTAGAGAGAGGTATTTCGGCATACTAAATAAATCCTGATGAACTTCTGTGGTCACGCCGAATCTAGCACTCTTTCTCTCTGCGTACTTTGACATAAACTCCTTAAAGCTTGGTTGCCGTTCATCTTTGATCTCATGTTGAAGGGTTCGTGCTTCTTCTGTTTAATTTGAGTCAGCATAACGTGCAAGACGATTTATGCGAACAACTTTTGCTTTACCTCCTGGCAACTTACTAATTCAGCATATTACGTCATTCCTACTACCAATATTATATGTTTCCATGGGTAACCCCTTTTTACCAACTGTACCATTTTTACCACTGTACCAACTGGTTGCACACGGTTCACATTTCTGGTACCATTTTCTTACATCATCTTTACAGCTCACCTAATAGAACCGTTCTCGAACCTTTTGCAGAGTCTTTATTATACCAAAGTGTCTACCTGATGAACCGTCATGCAACTGCGCAATATTTCTGACACTTTAATTTTAGGTACAATCAACTGAATATTAGATTCTGTACCATCTTCTATCTCAAAGATTCTATATATAAGATCATCTTTTAGTACCAAACAATTTCATTGGCTTCAATAGGAATTGACTTCCAGACTACATGCACTAATGTCTTGCGAAGAAGGTGACGCATCTAATGCAATTCTCTTTTTATACATGGATCAAATGCTTGGGCGTCTGGTTGCTTTTGATGCTGCCATTGAACATTAATGACAATGGTTCATCTCATGGGGCAAAGCCGTTCTAATTTACGACTGTGATTATAATTTGCACTGCATGGCAATCTTGATATTTGAATGAACTTTTTCAGCCCAATGTTCAAACTGTTTTGACTTTTTGGCTGTTGTATTATTTTCTTACAATTTACGGTGAATGTAAACATCATCGCCACCATTTTAACATCTGGTTTCGCGTCTCGATCTGTAAGCCGGTCGATAGATCTTGAAGATTCTTGAACACACATCATCGTTCGGAGAGATGCATCCGTTATATGCCACCGTTATATCCGTTATTATACCTATATACAAGAAAGGAAACACAAGAGACTGTAAGAACTATAGAGGTATATCACTACTATGTGTAGCAGCAAAAGTATACGAAACCATAATAGAAAGGAAAATCAGAAAAGAAATAGAACATAAATTAGAGGATGTACAAAGTGGATTCAGGAAAGGACACAACACACAAGACCATATATTCACCATGCAACAAGTCATAGAAAAGGCCTTAAAGAAAAATAGAGAAATATATCTGAGCTTTATAGACATGGAAAAAGCATTCGACTCAGTCAAAAGAAAAGATATATGGGAAAGCCTAAAAAAGAAGCAAATAAGTGAAGAACTGATAGAAGCAACAAAGAGTATATACATGAAAACAATAAACACAGTAAGAATGTCAAATATGCAGTCAGAACCATTTGAAACAACTCAAGGAGTTAGACAAGGATGAAGTCTCAGCCCAGTGCTAGTCATAAATGTAATAGATGAGATAGTGAAAGAATGTAAGAAAACGTTCAAGAAATACTGCATCGATTGGAACAGAAATCAGAAAAACTGAAATACAACTTAGAGAAATGGAACCTAGAAGCAAGCAAATACAACTTAAACGTAAACAAACAGAAGACTCAGATAATGAAAATATCAAGGAAACAAGTGACGGAAGATCAACTAGAAATAATGATAGACCAACGAAGAATAATACAAACAAATTCATACAAATACTTAGGAACAGTAATCAACAACAAAGGAGACATCGAGGACGATCTTAACAATAGAATGGAAAACACAGGAAAACTATTCCAAGCACTAAATAGAGGATTCCTTAATAACAAAGAAATATCCACAAAGACCAAGATGACAATATACAAAACAATATATATAGACCTACAGTGACATATGGAGCAGAAAATTGGATACTAAACAAAAGGCATCAAAGCAGAATTCAGGCAGCAGAAATGAAATACCTCAGAAGAATGATCGGAGTAAAAAGAACTGATAGAATCAGAAATGAAGAAATAAGAGAAATACTAAAAATCAAACCGATTCTCGAATCAATCAAGGAGAAAAAATTGGCATGGTTCGGACATCTAATCCGGATGGACAATAATAGACAAGTAAAAAGAGTGTGGGACGCCAAACCAATAGGGAAGAACAGAAGAGGAAGACCCATTAAAGAATGGAACAGTGACATCTCGCAGATACTGCAGAGTAAGGGTAAGACTTGGCAGGAAGCAACTCAGATGGCATACAATAGGAAGGAATGGAGAAAGTTTGTCAAGAGCTAGGACACCTCAGAAGATTATAAAATATTGTAATATAAAGAATTGTATTATAAACGACCCAATACCGAAAGGTACAAATGGGTCTACTGATTAAGTAAGTAAGTAAGTATATCCGTTATGCACCTTATAACTTTGACAAATTTTTCGCAATTTTCACTATATATTGGATATTCCAAGTTATCGATTACATGCAATATAGGACTTACTTAAAAGGGTAAATTAATCAAAAACTGTTTTGATTGACATTTGAATACCCTTCTTAAGACGTTATAAAAATTTATATTTACTTTTACTGCCTTTTCGAAACTAATCAAAATTTTTTTTTCAAATTACATCCGTGTATCTTAATCAATTTTTATTTTAAATATAGCGAGGTATTTACGATACTAAAAAGTTTTTAAGTGTTAATACCAAAAATATAAAACATGATTTCTAATATTCTTTAAAACTTCCGCTGCTACCGCTGCTGTGACGAAAAACTTTAAAACTTTTTTACGAGTATTTCAGAAACCGCAATGACATTTGTTACAAACATTAATGACAGATTTTAGTATAATAAAAATGGCAACTTTTTGTTGTTTATATTCAATTTCAAAGTTTCAGTTAATTATAAATAAAAATTGATTAATTTTTGTTGTTATATTGTTATTTTATTGTTGTTATTATTCTATTTATTTTTAAGTTTATATGATATTGATTTATGGAAAATATAAAAAATACTCGAAAAGTATCTTTTTTAAATAATGAACGATTCTTCAAACGTCTTAAGTCTTTAAATGGAAATGCAAAATGCGCGCTGGTTTCTTTTCAAACAAAAAATATGTTCCATATGGATATCTAGTTAGAACCATAGACATATAATACCTAGACTGAAGCGCTGCAATATAGACCCATTCCCCCAGTGCGATAGAGAAAAATTATACAAAGCAGTCTTTGTATCTTTTTTTACTCGTAATTGCATGGTTTCTGCTTTTGGACCTGAATAATCGGGGTTCGAATCTTCCAATGGTTTTTCTTTTTTTTAATAAATTTAATAATAATCAATATTACGTTTATTAGATATAATTAAATCTGTAATTACATCTTGCAAATAATACATGTGTGTATATATTACCTTTAAAAATAGCTTATAATAATAAGACATTAATAATAAAAAACTTTTTAAGTGAGAACAAATATGTTTACAATAGCATTTTACTTTACTCCTAAATTGTTTAAATTATCCCACCACCTTTTTCTTGGTCTGTCAATACTTCTTCGTCAATTTGGTGACTTATCTCGGCTATTCATACTATTCTTATCCTCTACCATTCTACTAATGTGTTCGTTACACTCCTGTTTCCGTTTTATCACGCATCCATTTATGTCTTCTATATTGCATGTTTTTGTGTATTTTCTTAGATATTTGTTCTTCCAGATTATGTCATTAAGAGATCCCGTTGTTTTCCTTGCTTCTAAGCTTTGTTGTCGTACTTCTTGTACAACATCATTACATAATATTTGAATTTCTTTGTTCCCCATTCTGTAACCATGACCTTTATGTACTGCTTGTATGATTTCGTCCATTATTATATTAAAGAAAATTGGGCTTAACGAGTCGCTTATCACTCAAGTTCTTAGTGTCGATGATTGGTCACTTTTAGACCGCATTTCCTATCATCAAGCCGATAAAATCCTTCTTCTAAGCAACGAAACTCACAAAAAGAAATTCCAATCCCTTGTATCTAAGAAAAAATCACATTCCACCACTTCTACTTCTCATTCACCTCTTACTAACACCGTCTTTAATCTTTCTTCTCACCAATTAACAAGTGCAGAAAGCAGTCTTCTATCTAAAGGTCTTAATTTTGCTATCACTCCTTCCAGAATTCCTACCGAAGAAATAGTTTCAAATGTGGAAGCGGCACTCCGCACAATTCCCAAAATTCCAGCCGACCGTATCCGCTTTGACGTCGCTAAATGTCTTGATACAGCCAAAATCCCTACTTCCAATATATCTCGTGAGGAATTCATAGCTCTCAAAAATCTCCGTTCTCTTTCTGAGATAATAATCCTTCCTGCAGACAAAGGTAATGCCACAGTCATCCTGGATACTCCTTCCTACATAGAGAAAGTAAACGCCTTACTTAGGGATACATCCTGTTATAATACAATTTCTCGAGACCCCACTCCTAGAGTCGAACGCGAAATTTCCCATGCCATCAAACAATCCGATCTTTCCGATGATGTTAAGAAGTCCATAGTTCCGAAAAACTCCATCTGCCCAGAATTTACGGTCTTCCCAAAATCCATAAAGACAACGTACCTCTTCGTCCCATTGTGACTACGATTAACTCTCCTACCTACAAACTCGCAAAGTACTTGTCGAATCAGTTTAAGACCTATACTGGTCGTACCTCTTCTTATGTCCGAAATTCCACACATTTCATCACCTTAATCTCCTCCCTCACGGTCGATCCCCAAGACATTCTTGTCAGTTTCGATGTATCATCCCTATTTACCAATATCCCCATACATGACTCTCTAGTTGTTCTGCGAGATCACTTGACCAATGATAACAAGTCTTTGGTTTTGGCAGATCTTGCGGAAAAATGCCTCCTTTCAACATATTTTTCTTTTAGAGGCAATTTCTACAAACAAATATCTGGAACACCAATGGGTTCTCCCCTTTCCCCTGTCATTGCTGACATTTTCATGGAAGCCTTTGAGTCTTTAGCCCTAGAATCTTACCCTTAAAACCAAAAGTCTGGTTCCGCTACGTTGATGATACATTTATCATCTGGTTCCATGGTCAACATACCCTTTCTCCCTTCCTAGATCATCTTAACTCACAACATCCGAGTATAAAATTCACAATGGAAGTAGAAAATAATCGGTCCCTTCCCTTTCTCGATGTGTTAGTCACCTCCAAGCCCAATGGCCGATTGGGTCACTCTGTTTATAGAAAAAAGACTCACACGAATCGTTACCTACATGCTTCATCACACCACCATCCCGCCCAAAAGAATTCTGTGATCAACTCTCTCATCCATCGGGCCATTTCGATTTCTGAACCTGACAACCTTAGAGAAGAACTTATCCATCTGCAAAAAACCCTTGTCGCCAACGGTTACTCCAAGTCCACAATTCAAAATATTACACACCGACATCTACATCCCCCTTTACACCCTAGGACGACAAATTCAGAATCTTCGGGTAATACTCCTGTGGCTTTTCTTCCGTATATTCGAAGTGTCACTGATAGGATTGGCAAAATTCTTCGCAAAGAAGGTATCAGGACTACTTTTCGACCACCCAAGAAAATCTCACAATATCTACCCTCTCCTAAGGACCCATTACCGCCCCTATCTTCCTGTGGTGTCTATTCTATTCCTTGTTCATGTGGACATGTGTATATTGGCTAAACTGGTCGTTCCGTCCAAACTCGGATTCAAGAGCATCAAAGATGCATTCGATCAGGTCTTTTCTCCCATTCTGCAGTTGCAGAACACTGCCAAGAAACAGGTCATTCCATATTGTTCGAAAAAACCCATATTATTTCTAAGAGCCCCTTCTTTTATTCCAGGAAAATCCGCGAATCTCTAGAGATCCGAAAAAATCCACATAATATCAATCGAGAGAAAGGATACTACTTGTCTCCCATCTGGAGTCTCAGTCTAGAGCCGCGTCCGGTCCCGCTACCACGATGCAGCCACATGATTGGCCAGCGCGCGCTTCTTGACGTTCGCGCCACGGAGTGTGCCGATACGTCCCGACACGACAGGTCACCGCGACTATAAATAGAGCGGTAGCGGAGTAATCGTCGGATTCACTCCCCGCCTCTCGACGCGTTAGTGTTCTGAGCTGTTGGACGTGAATCCCTGTCCTGGCATTTGGTTTTCACCTCTGGCTGCGTTAAGTAGTTGAGTTACTGTGACCAAATGCCCATCTTGGTAGTTAGTATTCGCCTCTGGTTGCGTTGAGTAACTGAGTTACCGTTGCTAACTACCCATCTTCCTGTCTTTTGATTTCTTTTTCTTTGTTCTCTTGAAGAAGCTACATACAATTGTAGCGAAACGTCGAGATGAACCCACTTTTGGGTCACTCATAAATGACACGGTCCAAACCCGGAAGACGAATAAACTATAATGATGTTTTTGATAGTTTGTATAATATTGATTGGTATGTTTCTTTTATATAGTAGGCGTAGGACGTCTTCGACTTGGATGCGATCGAAAGCCTTTGTTAGGACTATAAAACATATGTTCTAATTGTGAAGAATTATTTTAAATTATTATTATCTGTTATAGATTACAGCGATACAAAGGTTTTAAGGATCCTTAATTCAGAATTAGCTGACACTCTTGGAAATTTGTTAAGTAGGTGTACAGGAACAGCATTGAATCCTCATCAGAGGTTTCCAAAAATGGAACAAGCCGCCTTAGAAAAAGTAAAACAGTTAGATGTCACTAAAAAGTTGATTGATAGTGTACACAATCTTCCAGGTAAGAAGTTTTACAAATTAGTTGTTGATTTAAAAATTATGTTTTAAATAGTAGTTTTTTGGAAATTATTGATTATAAAATAATATAGAGTTCAATTCAAAGTTTTGTATAGTGGAAAGTAAATCTTACATATATACCATTCCACATATGCATGGTATTCGGTATACTCCGGCCGTTGCTAATGGGTCGCGTTTGTCCTTCACCGATCTTAAATAGTCCTTGATTTTCTTCGTAGGCTGGAAAATGGTCTTTACATTGGATTTTTTAAGTATTCGCCCAATTCTGTCCGTTACCCCCGATATATAGGACAAGAACGCTTTGCCTATACATTCTGTTTCTTCGTCCTTTTCTCTAGAGACGTTGTTCATTGCTTTATGTATTTTTCTTCTGGTATAACCATTAGAGGTGAGCGCTTTTTTAATATGAAGAAGTTCACTTTGCAGATGCTGTGGTTCACAAATTCACTTCGCCCTCTCCGCCAGAGTTTTGATGATACCTTGTTTTTGGCCTGGATGATGATTTGAGTTCCTGTTTAGGTATCTGGCTGTGTATGTAGATTGTCGATACATTTTATGTCCTAAGTATCCTTCCTTTTGATTTACTAATACATCTAGGAACGCTAGTTGTTGATCTTTCTCTGTTTCCATCGTAAATTGAATATTTGGATGTAGTGTGTTTATATAGGACAGGAAATCGTTTTTTTTACTCCGTGACCCCAATTCACAAAAGTGTTATCGACGTATCTAAACCAGACTCTTGGCTGGTATGCTGAGTCCATTACCCTTTTCTCTAGATGCTCCATTAAAAGGTTGGCTAAAAAAGGACTTAGTGGGCTTCCCATTGCTACTCCATCTATCTGTTCATAAATCTGGCCTTCCCATGAAAAGTATGTGGTAGTGGGCAAATACGGTATAATTCCACCATATCCTTGGAAACTAGTCCCTCAATTAAGTTCAGAACGTCTTCTAGGGAAACTCTTGTAAAAAGGGAGACAACATTAAAGCTAACAAGAATGTCAGATTCCTCTAAAGTTATTTCTTTGTTCGCCTCGATGAGGTTGTAAAATATCGGCCAGGTGTTTAGCAAGGCTGTAAGACGGAGATCCTATGGAGCTCACAATAGGGCGTAGAGGTACATCATCTTTGTGTATTTTTGGTAAGCTATACAAGCGTGGTGGGACTGCTTCGCTCTTGCCTATTCTTGGCTTTATATCCTCTGGTATGGATGAAGATTTTATAAGTCTAGTGATTTTCCGTAGGGTGACTACTTTGGGATCTTTTTTAAGTTTTTTATATACCGCAGAATCTAGAAGATTTTGTATTTTTGTTTTATAGTCGGTTGTCTTCATGACGACGTTGGCGTTTCCCTTATCTGTTGGTAAAATTACAACATCTTTGTCTGCGTTTAACGATTTTATGGCACGTATTTCTTGGTGGCTCAAATTATTTTTCGGTGTCTTAGCTTTATGCAAAATTCTCGCTGATTCTGTCCTTATTTCTTCAGCCTTTTCGAATGGTAAGTTGCGAATCGCAGACTTGATATTAGCGATGATATATTCTTTGGGTATAACTTTGGGTGCAATCGCAAAATTTCCCCTTTGGCTAGTAATAATGTTTCGGCTGGAGTTAAAACCTTATCTGAAAGGTTGACCACTGTCCTTTCTGTGTGTTATTTTGATTCTACCTCCTTATGTTTGGTTAAGCCTTCGTATTTGTTTTTCTGGCGTTCAGTGTTGCTTCCTAGTTCATTTTTCATTTTTCCGTAACAAATGGATTCAATTTTATTCCAATCTGCATATTTCAACCTGTTGCTCAAAACGTAAAACAAATCTAGAAGCTCCTTGTCAACCTTCGCCAAATTTCGTCTGGTTTCATAGTCGTTCTCGTAATAGTGCTTTTCCATGCGTGTATATATTCTATTGGCTTGACTTGTTCTGATGGATCGATTTGTTCGTAAGAAATTCGGTAGTACCACGTTGTCTGGATATCGTGATAGAAAAGCTAATGACGCAAGAAGTTGAGCTTTCTTCTTTCGTAGACAATCTAGTCTTCTGTAGAATGTAGTTACCTCCTCCCCGTAGGGGCGACTGATAAAATGCGTTAGGCTTTCACGGCCATCGTCTAACTTGTTAAACTCTTTGTTCGGACGGGTGGTTGTCTTCTGAGATTAGTTCTCGACGTTTCGCCAACACTAGGGGTTGGCCTCTTCTGGATTTCTGGTTGGCATCAATCCAGAAGATGCCAACCCCTAGTGTTGGCGAAACGTCGTGAACTAATCTCAGAAGACAACGGCGTAACAGAATGAACAAACAGTTTATTAAGTTAGACCAGGGGTGCTCAAACGGTCGATCGCGAGTGCTTTTTGGGTAGCTCTCGAGAAGAAAAAAAATTTTAATAAGTAGGTAGGTAACTAAACTACTGTCAGCAGAGTTAAACGTTTTTATTAATACTGAACTATACAAATACATAGAATGCTTGACTAAGCATAATTGCAATTCAAAGAAGTGGGGACAACAAAATACTGTCCACACAGCATATTTTATATTTACATATATTAACTAATTATTTTATTAATTCAATATTTATTTTAATTATTAATCAAATTTGGGATGATATTCTATCAACTACAAAAATGTATTACGTAATAAAATAACACTGCTTGCGGCAAAAGGTGGGCTTTATCAAAGGAACGCGCGGCACTTGTCAAAGAAAAGCCGTGTTGTTTCTAGACGAGAGACAGTACAGTCTAGTTTCGGGCGGCGCGTTTGACGGAACATTCGAGACTTTCGTTCACGCCGATATAAATGTTGCGCCTGCAGGAATTGGAGTTATTCTGAATTGTAACTTGATAGCGATCCTACGTCGATACAAAGTTCATTATTAAATAGTGGAAAATGAGTGCAGTGAAGAAATCTAAAACGTATCATTTTAATAAGGATTGGGAGGAAGAATTTTTCTTTTCTATCGTGAAGGATAAGTGCAATTGTGTTATTTGTCGTACGTCAGTTGCAATACCTAAGCGTGGTAACTTAGAGAGGCATCATAAAACGGTTCACAAAAACCATGAAAAGGATTTTCCGCCACAGAGTGAATTAAGAAAACGAAAAGTAAGTGATTTGATATCTTGTTTGAAAAAAGAACAATCCATGTTCACAAGACCAGCCAAACAATAAAAAGCTGCTACGATCTTGTCATTTAAAATATCTCATATTTTGGCGAAACACAAGAAACCATTTGAAGATGGATCGGTGGTGAAGGAAGCATTTATTGAAGCGGGTGAGACTTTATTTGGAGATTTTAAAAATAAAACAGAAATCATGTCTGCTATTAGAGAACTTCAGTTATCTCGTCCGACTGTCACAAGGCGTATTGAAGTCATGAGTCAAGACATCGCAGATAAACTAAAATATCCATCGATATGACAGACACTGCCCAGCTGTGTATTTTTATTCGGATGGTATTCAATGACATGTTGGCTAAGGAAGAATTTTTGACAATCATTCCTCTGAAGGGGAAAGACTCGTGGCGAAGATATATATGACGTTTTCTTAAATTTTGTAAAAAAACTACGAGCTACCAATATATAAATTAATGTGCATTACAACCGATGGAGCACCAGCAATGACTGGAAACAAAAACGGTTTTGTGGCATTGTGTCGAGCTAATGAAGAATTCCCTTCATTTTTTTCATTCCATTGCATTATACATCAACAAGTTTCGTGTTCAAAAGTTTTAAACACGGAGGAAATTATGGGCATTGCAACAAAAATTGTGAATTCCATCCGTGCACGTAGCTTGCAACGGCGGCTCTTTCAGTTGCAGTTGGAAGATAGGGAGTCAGCTGAACACACTGATTTAATTCTTCACACGGACGTCAGGTGGTTGAGTCGCGGAAAATTCCTAAAAAGGTTTCATTGCCCGAAATAACAGTTTTTCTAGACGAAAGAGGCGATGACACTCAGATTTTGAAAAAGGAAAAATGGTTCAAAAGTAAATTGCAACTTATGATAGATCAACTGAAAAGAAAGGATCTGAAACATTTTCCGTCTTTGAAAGCAAGGATTCCTCAGTTGAATTATGATACGTATGAGGCTGAATTATCAAATATTTTGGGACAATTCGAAATGCGTTTTTATGATTGCAGTAAATTGGAAAATATAGCATCATTTATGAGTTATCCTTTTTCATGTAAAAACATTGAGGAATTAGCCACTGAAATAGCAAGTCAGTTTAATATGAACTCATGTTCTGTTGAAAATGAGTTGGTGCAGATTATATCAGATATACATCTCAAAGCTACAGTATCTGATACAAATTTCTGGCGTTTTATATCTGAAGATAAATATCCGAATGTAAGGCAAATCGCCCTTCAACTGACGGCATTTTTTGGGTCAACTTACTTGTGCGAGTCTGCATTTTCTGAAATGAAGATAATTAAGTCAAAATATCGCAATCGACTAACTGACGATCATATGACATCATGCTTGCGATTAGCACTCAGTGGTTACGTACCATCTTATGAAAAGTATGCTGAGGACATGCAGTGCCACACTTCAACATCCAAAGCCACTCCTTAGTTAAGTTTAACACCATATGTAACTCTTTTGGTTTGTAACAACAAATAAACTCGCAATTTTGAATAACTATGAGTTTTTTCATTGATATTGTAGAGAAGAACCTAACTAAACCTAACCCAAACCTTGACTAAAATAATGTACCTATATTGTGCAGAAAGCTAATATCTATATATGCTACGGTACGCCCTACCTAGGTAGGTAGGGTGTATCATGTATGTACGACAACTCTGTATCACACACACTTGCAGTCTCTCAGAGTCGATCGTAAGTAGTCTAAAAATATTGAGGTAGATCGCCAGCAGTGCAAGTTTGAGCACCCCTGAGTTAGACGAGCGATGGCCGTGAAAGTATAATGCATTTTATTAGGGTGTCTAGCCTTTGAATATCTGAACCTAACAAGATGTTTTAGAGCCTCTAAAATACT